ACACACACACACACACACACACACGCGCGCGCGCGCGCGCCTAGAGCAGGGCCAAAGAATGAATGCTTCTTTAATCATGAGAACACTCAGCCAGTAGCATTAGTGGTCCACCTGAGCTTCAAGCTGACTTCACAAAAGCTGAGCTCTCTCGGCTTCTTTCGTCCTGGGGAGAGTCCGCCTCAGCCCTTGGAGAGGCAGAAGGTCGCGGGACACCTGACTCCGGTCGGTCCGCTGTGAAGCAGCAGAAGCGAAGTCCCTGGGCTCTGGGAGGAGCCACGCTTCCTCATTTGGACAACTCTCCCCATGCCTCGGCCCTCTCCGGAAGCTGGAGCCCCGCTGAGAGTCCTTTAGATGAGGTCTTGGGGCTGCATTCTTAGAGAGGCCATGAGGATTCATGCCTAGAATCAGGCGATACCAGAACTGGAACTGGTCAGAAGTCATCCAGTCCAAAGGAGGATTGGGTGAGGCAACTGAGGCTCACGAGCAAGGGACCTATCTGCTCCAGGTGACAGGGTGATCCTGTGGCCCAGCTGGGGCCGACACCAGTGTCCAGACTCCACCGAGGTCCTCTTCCGGCCGCACCTGTCACCCCATCACCCCTGCCATCTCCCACCACCACCACCATCACTCAGTCTCGCTGCCCGGTCTGGGACTGACCCCTGCAGACCTGTGTGGTCCTGGGGGTGGAAAGGCAGGGCGGGTGGGGGCGGTGTTCCGTGTATACAGCCTGTTCCGTGCATATAGAACCGCTCTCCCAGAAAACGACAGCTAACTTCGGTCGTTCGCCGAGGGTTCGGGAAGTTTGGGGACATTTGTGTAGTCAACCACAAGGTGCCTGGTGCCCGGAGACGCTGGCCAAGTATCCATCGCCTCCTGGATGGTGCCCGCCCCGCGCCCCTGCAGCCCGCACCCACCACGCGCCCTGCACTCTGCGGCTCAGAGGAAGAAGGGGGCGTGGTCCCCGGCCCCGGGGCCGCTTGTCGCCTGCCGGTCGCAGCGAGCCTTGTAGAGGTCGCGCTCCCGGGCCAGGCGGGCCACCTCCGCGCGCAGCGCGTCCAGCTGCGCCAGCAGGCGAGCGCGCTCCGCCTCCAGGCCGCGCCGCTGCTGCAGCCGCTTGGAGCGGCAGGCCTGCGCGTAGCCGCGGTTCTTCAACGTGCGGCGCCTCTGCTTCAGCCGCAGCGCCTCGTCGCGCCCGCAGCCGCGCAGCTGCCGGTTGAGCTCCCGCACCGACATGGACACCAGCGCTGCGTCCGAAAACCGCTCGGCCAGCTGCAGAGAGCAGGGCGGAGGCCCGGTCAGCGCCGGGCCTGGGCAGTCCATCCCGCAGTCCAGACACCTCCCCAGGTCCCGGCTCGCCCCGCCCCCCAGGGGAATAGGGGGCATCCCCCATTGGCCCTCACCACAAGCTGTGTCCTTTTAGGCCCACCCCTCGCTGCAGCGCCTGCCACCATCGGAACCCAGCACCACCCTCCCGTGCGCAGCTGCGGCTCTGGACAGGGGGTGTCCAGTGGCCCCCGCGGTCACACAGACTGCCGCCCAGCCCTCCCGGTCCTGAAGGCCACAGCCGTGTGACCCTCACAGGATTTGGATTACAGCCTACCTAATGCCCTGAACGCCCCCATCTGTGTCTGTACTTAATAGGATGACTCCCAATCCCTCCTGAGAAGGTGAGCCGCTGAGGAAGCACCCTGTCTTGGAAAGGCCACCCTCCCTCGGGTTCCCACAGCCTTAACCCCGGCCCTTTCCACACACAGCCTTTCCCTGGTCATCACACACTGCCCGCCTCCTTACCTCCCCTTCATGGCTCCCTGTGCCCTTCAGAGGAGAGAGAAACAGAATGTACTAGTCTGTTTCTTCTAAAGGCCCTTCTTGCCTTCTGTCTGCTCCTCCCTTCCTTGATTGTCCCCTTGGCCTGCCACCACCCCCTCCTCCCTCAGTTTGCCTCCCTCTCAAAGCCTCACTCACTCACCTGCTCATGCTGGGCTTCTGTCTCCTCCGGGCTCTCTGGGTAGTAGCCTTGGGACCCCTCAGCAGGGACCACTGGGCCCTGCCCCTGCAGCAGCTCGACGGCCTCCTCAGGACTCAGCCCCAGTGCCTCCCCAGCCCCCAGCTGCTGTTGCAGGGTGGCCAGCCAGTACAGCTCCTCGAGGCCTGGCCGGGGGCCCTCGGTGGCCCCCACCACACCTGGCTCGCTGAAGGTGGGTGAAGGCGGCACCGAGCTGTAGGGTGTGGAACCCAGGGAGGCCATGGGGAGGCCAGCTCGCCCTTCAGGGGGCTCCCGCTTGACCTCAAACTTCATCAAGTCAAAGTCATTGACATATTCCATGGCCAGGGGGCTGGGGGGCAGTGCCATTCTGAGACTGGGCTGGGCGCGGTGCTCCTGGAAAATAGAGGAGAGGCTTGGAGCACCAGGAGCCTGCCTGCCCGCCACCTTCACCTTCACCAAATCGGTTCCCCCATGTGCCCTGGAGCCAGGGTTCTGCAAAGTCGGTGAAGGAGCAGCCTGGTTCCCTATGGAGCCACCCCCAGGCTCAGGAAGAAGGTGGGGCGGGCCATACTGTTGGAGGAAGAGGGGCTCCTGGCAGAGGCAAAGCAACCCAAAGGCCTGAACAAGGGAGAAGTCAGCATCGCCCCCGGCCCCACTGAGTCATGTCTATGAAAACAAGAGCGGTACGGCACGCTTCCAGTGCTGGTGCTAAGCCATGCTGAGACACTCTGTCATCTCAAGAGGTACTATTCCATTTCCCAGCAATTAAAAAATGCTGCTTAATTAACGGTGACGGGTATGTGTGTATTTTAGGACAGTGGGAAGGCATCGCCGTGATGAAGGTTGGGCTTTCAGAGAAACTGTGTGATTGCCCATATTCTGTCTCTCAGAACACTCGGTCACGGCCTTCCAAAGAGAAGACCCCAGGACACCTCTGTCCGATGAATGGACCAGGCAGGGAATCCCTTTCTAAAAGCAAGAGACTTTCCAATGAAAGCAAGAATGTCCTAGGACGCATTCCTGAAAGACCAGCACTAAGTGGTGACCATCGAACCCGCCGGGCCGGCCTCTTCAAAGACAACTTGCCACGCTTGGTTCCCCTCCCCTTCAATCCTGCTAGGTCGTGTGAACCTAAACAGATCGCCTTCCCCCTTCTGATCCTAATTTTTGCTTCTGTTCAGTTAGGGTGACGAGGCTTTCCCAATGTGTGTTCTGTGGCATGCCTACCCCGACAAGCAGCCAAGAAGAGGTCTGCGCTCAGACGTGTTGAGAAAGGGGCTTGTCTCACTTCATCCCACGTACTTTGGACATGTCAGGAGGGACCGTTCCCTGGAGAAGGACGTCATAAAGCTTGGTAAAGCTGAGGGCAGCGAAAAGAGGGAGACCCTCAACGAGAGGGATTGGCGCGGTGGCTGCAACAATGAGCTCAAGCAGAGGAACGACTGGGAGGACGTGCAGGGCCGGGCGGTGTTTCATTCTGCTGCTCGTAGGCCCGCTGTGAGTCAGAAGAGACTCATCAGCCGTGCCTAATAACAACAACATGCCCACCGCTTAGCTGTTCACCAGGTACTGGCAGCGTGTTAGTCTAAGAACTCTTTCCGTTCACTGTAACGCAGATGGTCTCAAATTCCTGTCCCCAGCGAGCTCTCTTCCCTGTTATCAACCATGGAGCATGTGTTCAAAGGACACCTTAGAACCCCTCCTGCTAGAGGACTCAGAGAGCTTCCCGGCCTGGAAACCCCATGCTCTGGCCCCATCTCCTAGTCCCAACAGCCTCTTTCCCATCCCCAGAAGGGGCAGAGGCAGGCAGTACCATCCCGAGAGTGTAGAGTTTGACTCCATCTTCACCCCCTGGGCCTAGCTAGCCCCCTTTCCTACCCAGGTTCTGCCCGGAGAGGTGTGGAAATACACAAGGTCTCTCTTCCTCTCCCAAGAAGATATTGCTGCCCCCAACCCTGGGATTGCCATGGGTCAACTATGGGTTTCACCCTGGGGGGGCAGGGAGGAGATAGGGACAAAGACCCCGATTTAAGGAACTTGATTTAAGGAACTTGTCCTCGGTGGGGAAGGAGATGGCAAGATGTTGCGATAAGTGTCCCTGGAAGAGGTGCCCAGGGAGAAATGGATGTGAGGGAAAAGGTATCTGGGAGGGATGTTTATCTTTCTGATGTGATAGCTGTCAGGACAGGTGGAAATGGGATGGTGTGAAGATCCCAGAGCAGAATGCAGATAGCAGGAGATAAAGGAAGATCTCTAGGTGAGAGACCTGGTGCTCAGGTGAGCCTGGGGACATACTCACTTCAAAGTTGGCAGAGATGATGTGGTCAGTGTCAGAGGCAGGCAGGCACAGCTTCCCCTGAGACTGGAGGCCCCATTGAGCAGGGCCTGGTGCCTCTCTTCTCAGGACCAGGGACTGTGGGCACAGAGCCCAAAGGGCACTCTTAAAGGGCCAGCACACTGAGGTCATCTGTGTTCTTCTGTCCTCCAGCCAATGAGGTAAGGGCATCATTTGCATATCCCATTGACTGGGGAGTGTATAGGGACCTGGGGTGGGGGTAGGGGTATTGAGAAGAGATAAGAGGCCAAGTATGCATGTTCTCCAGGAAGGAGAGGCTGGTCTCCTCCCCAACAAAGCTCCTCAGTGATGGGCTGACCAGTACCCAGAGCCTCCCTGGCTCCTGACCACTGCCTCTCCAGATGAACCAGCCTGGCTCTCTGATGCCTGGCCCTGGGGAAGAGTACCAGACAAGCTCCCAGCATCCGCATCCTCCAGGGTGGAGTCTTTAAGGTGCACCAGTTTTCCCCTGTTCATTCTCAGATGACCTCTCACGCACCTAGCTCCACTCTCCCGCAGAGGGGCCTTGTACTTACTAGCCGTCACACCTGAAAGATAAGCAACACTCCCCATAGGGATCCCCCAGGACTAGGCTAACCACACCTGCGCCTCTCCCACTCAGGGTGGCCCAGCCCAGCTTGGAAGCCCAGCCTGGGAAAAAGAGCAGGAGAAGATAGAATGGACAGCTCTGTTCTGTCCTTCCGGGACACTACAGGACACTGAAATCCAACCACCACCCACCCAGCCCAGCCATTTCTGGAACTGCCCTCGGGTGCCCTCGGCTTCCTCCCACCTTCTCCTCACATTTATCTCAGTCTCTTTCTCTTCCTCTCTCTTCATTGTTCCCAGATGGCCGCGGAATGACCTACATATTCAGCCTAATCCCCTAACACCTCTTAGAGCTATCAGCCCCAAGTAGGAGTTGGAACAGAGATACTTGGAATTAGCCAAGATGTTTAAACCTGTCTGAAGCCGTTTAACTAGGGCCTGTGTTAGAACAGGGCTCCAGGAACGATAGTTTGTTCCCAACCTGCACCCAAACACTCCCATCAGGTTAACAGGTCTTCAGTCCTGTTAACTCACTAAGAGGTAGCCCTGGGTGTCTGTCCTCCTGGTCACCACCAGTTAATACACACGTTAACCTGGGGCCAGCCTGGCCTCAGGTATTGGGTGAAGAGCTGGTGGAAGCAGGTCATCTAAGACAGGCACCTCAAAGTGTGGTGCCCAGACCACAGCAGCATCAGGATCCCACGAGAACATGTGAGAAATGAAAACACTCTGGTCTCACCACAAACCTACCGAATCTGAGATCTGTGTTTGACTCAGCCCTCCAGGCACTACTGATGCCCACTAGGTATATGAATGCCAACGGCTAACTCAATTTTTCTTGGTGTGTGTGTGTGTGTGTGTGTGTGTGTGTACTTACACATGTGCATGCTATCTCTGGAGCACACAAGAAGACCTACATCAGATAAACAGGAGCCCCGGTGGCACAGTGGGCTACACATTGGGCTGCTAACCACAAGGTCAGCAGTTTGAAACCATCGGCTGATCCTCAGGAGAAAAATGAGACTTTTTTTCTTGCATAAAGAGTTACAGTCTCAGAAGCCCACGGACAGTTCCACCCTGTCCTCTCAGGTCACTATGAGTCAGTATGGACCGGAAGACGGTGAGTGAGTGCCGATCACATCACTCTCCATTCTGGGCCGCTCAACCCATCTGCGTTGTCCAGGTAGCAGCCTTGTCTCGGCGAACACCTGGCTCTGATGCTGTTTCCTCAGGAAAACCAATTCCTCCAAGTCTGGGAGCAGAGTCACGAAACAAGACTGTGAAAGGCCACACGGCTGCTCCAAAACAGGCACTCAGGACAGGGACCCCAGGACTTCCCCGATTGGAGGAGGGGGTGGGAGTGTCCAGTGCAGCCCGGGTGGTCAGACACTTGCCCCCTGCCCAGCAGCTGTCAAGCCCGGGCTGATCCTCTTGTTTACTGCGAGAGGTGGAAGAGCTAAGCAGCTAATGGGCTAAAGGAGTCAGACTAAACAAGCTCAGGCCAATTGCGTGGCTAGAGGCTCAGGCCAGGTGCCACTGAGCAGGGAAAGGAGTGCGGGCAGTGAAGGCAGGAGCCAGACGGAGCTGGAGGAAAGCGCCAAGGGCAGAGAGGAGAGGCTGCAGCAGCCAGCAGGGACCAGGGAGGCGGAGGTCAGCCCAGAGTGGGAACTGGAAGCTGGGAAATGGATACTGGATGTACTCCCTCAAGGACATCTGGGGACAGAGAAATGAGACTCAAAAAGATGAATCCAGGGTGGACACTGCACAGGAGCACACCGAGGAAGGAAGCCTGGGGAGCTAGTGAGGGCGGTGTCATGCTGGGACCTGGATTTCAAGAGGCAGAGGGAACCTGGGCACGTGGAAGAGATGCTCAGAGGGCCATCCTCACTGCCACTGAGTCGATGCCGATTCATAGCGACCCTATAGGGCAAAGTAGAACTGCTCCTGTGGGTTTCCGAAACGGTTTATCTTTATGGGAGTAGAAAAGCTCATCTCTCTCTCACGGAGCAGCTGGTGGTTTCAAACCGCTGACCCAGGACTCCTTCAAAGGGCTCCTACTCACTCACTGCCATCAAGTCGATGCCGACTCATGGTGAGTCCACAGGCAGG